ATTACTGCTCTTTGTATGATGTTTTCTGTGTACAAGTTGAACAAGTAGAGTGATAATATGCACCCTTGCCTGACTCCTTTGCCAATTGGGAACTGTTTTGTTTCTCCATATTCTGTTCTGACAGTGGCCTCTTGTTCTGAGTATAGCTTTTTCAACAGAGCTATCAAGTGTACTCACACTCCCATGTCTTTGAGAGCATTCCATAGCTTTTCCTGATGGAAGCAATACTTGATTCAATTGCTAGATTGTGTGTGTGCCTCATGCCATGCTATGGATTATGAGATCATACTGAAGTAAACAAGAGGAATGTATTTTGTAATACAGGATAGTGCATCTCAAAGTGGTGATCCGTGAACTAGTGGTGATTCACGAACTGTAGGCCGCTAGTCCATGGCGAATTTCCAGGAATGAAAGAAAGTGCTGTAGCCAATGGGTGCAAATTTGGTGCTGGTCCATGAAACACTTCTTTCAAAGTAACAGAAGGGTAAGTATTTTGGTTACTTTTGAACAACAGGAAAAGTAATGAATTTTTTTTTTAATGGCAACTCTAATGGGCACTGGCATTAGTTGGGGGCCTTGGAACTTTTAACTGTAATAGCAAATTGCTTTTTTAAAAGTAACTTTCCAAACTCTGTGGAGACTGCAAATGTGGTAGTTGATAAAAGTGTTCAGGATGATCTCATGTGACGCAATCCACATTCCTTGGAACATCTTAAGAGGTCTTTCAGTGAAAGTGGTTCGCAGTCCCTCTATAGATTTCTAGATTTTTACAATTGTATGAACATTTTATTTGAGAAGCATGCCAGCCAATTGATAGCTTTCGTTCTGATTCAATTTATAACAAGTCTCTTGCTAAGGATTATGTTTGCTTGCTTATTTTTGAGTATCAGAGAGAAGTCAATGTCCAGATCAAAAAGGAAGTCATTGTCAATAAACATCAGATTAAACAAATCTGGAAAATGCAGTAAAGAAGTCTGATAGAAGCCCAAGAGGGCTCAAAATGCATTAAAAGAAAGTCCACTGATGTCTCAGATGGCTTGGTGCACTAACTTTAAAAAAAATCATGGATTGAGAACTCAATTATGTGAAATTCAAAATAGTGGAAAAATCTGTGGGCTAGAATTCAAAGAAGCCAGCTTTCATGTGCAGAAATTGGTTGTGTGCACACACAGAAGACAGCTAATTTTTCCAGCTGAAATTATTATTATTGTTGTTGTTATTGTTGTTGTTGTTGTTATTATTATTATTATTATTATTATTATTATTATTATTATTATTATTATTAATATACCGCCCCTCTGCAGAGCAATCGGGGCAGCTTACAACATTGAAATTACCATGTAGATAAATTACAATACAATATGAACACAGCCAAAAATCCCTTTACTTTACCTAATCCCACTCTAGAGTGTCCCTTGATCTTTAAGAGTGCCTTTTAAGTGGAAGGGGTGAAAGAAGTATTAGTAAGAAAGGAAGACCTCAACATCTTGGTATACATGTAAAACATGGCATGTGGCTTGACTTTCGAGATCCTTGCCAATATTACCAAGAACTTTGGGAAGGAAATATAGATATATACATATGTACATACACTAAGAGAGCCAGAGTGGTGTAGTGGTTTGAGCATTGGACTACAACTCTCAAGGCCAGGGTTCAAATCCTTGCTTGGTCATGGAAACCCACTGGGTGATCTTGGGTAAGTTACACTCTCTCAGCCTCAAAGGAAAGCAGTGGCAAACCTCCTCTAAACAAATCTTACCAAGAAAACTCCTTAGAGTCACCATATGTCAGAAATGACCTGAAGGCATACAACAGCAACATACATGTACAGTCCCCAGGTACTCATATTTTCTTCATATTACTCTTATTGGAAACATTTCCATTAGTAAAAACTTTAAAGATACCTATATCTTGCTAAAAGAGAAATAAATTCATCATAGCCTGAACTTACAGCTCACAAGTTAAAAACAAAATTTCATAATAAATTTGTTAATTTTTAAGATGCCACACAGCAATTTTCTTTTGTTGCGATACAGGTAACTCTATGAAAATTATTTCCATTGGTAAATTCCATTAAGCTCTTCTCTTCCCAGATCACTATAAATCTTACCTAAAATTGTGGGTACAAAAGCAATTAATGTACGTAGCCTTATAAATAAATAATGACATCTCACTCAATTCTCTTCCATAAGCTTTTTTAATTATTGCTTTAATAACTGTTTTAAAGTCATATGCTATTGATCAATAGGTCATCCTTCATAAGATGAAGACCAGAAAAAAAAGTTGTTTGTAAAATAATGCAGGCAGTTAGTGGTTTATGGAACTTCCTCAGGTGATATCAAGGAGGCTGGAAGGACACAGACTCTTGTATCAGTATACATAACAGCCATGATTAAGGTTAGTAAGCTATGATTTACAAGGACTATAAAGCTTAGACCTCAATGCTTTCATGTTGAAATACAAAAACCACTTAAATCAGCATGCTTGCATTTAAAATGCTAACAGCCTGATGCTCATCTTTACTCAGACGTATAATGAGACCTCCAACAGTTTGACTACATATAGAGTTAAATGCCCAAGGTACATTCATTTCAGATAGCACCACACTGCTCTGGGCTGCACATTAAATGTGCCAAGAGCTGCAATCTTATGCCTGTTTACCTGGGAATAAGCCTTACTTAACCCAGTAGGATTTACTTTTGAGTAGGCAAGTATAGGATTGTGCTGTAATTCCCATTGATTAAATCCTGCTGTGTACAAACTTACTTGGGACTAAAGCCTTCTTCTAAACAAGTGTTTTTCATAGGATCAGGAAACAAAATTTGCCAAGCTTAAGCAGTGGGACTTGATTGTAGGTAAACATATTTAAGGTCAGGATGCTGGTCCCTTTGGTTTACTTTAAGGCATGATGAATGTTAGTGTTATACAATAAAAATCTGAGCAGTAGGTTTTTAATATTTGGATAAAACCAATCTTGGTAATTAGTTACATATCTCTTCACAGCATCCAATAGTGACTGTTTATCAAAGCCTTCATTATATAGGAGGAATTAGACAGTTGGAGGCTTCTGGGGTAAATCAACCCACATCCTCATTATTGCCATGAGACAGAAGAGGCAGGTAAAGGCATTTGAATCCATGGGACAAAATTTAGCTAGCAGGACATTTTAGGGGGTGAGAATTAGGTCCTAGTTGTTGTTAATGGCCCTCGAGTCAATCTCAACTCATGGTGACCCTGTGGATGAGACATCTCCAAGCTTCCCTACCCTCCACTATTCTTCTAAGTTAGGGGTCCCCAAACTATGGCCTGCGGGCCGAACCCAGCCTATTGAGGCCTTCTTAGCAGCCCGCAGCTGGTCCTGCCACCACCACCACCGCTGCTGCCGCTGCCGATTACACGCGCCGCCGGCCACCATTTTGTCTTCCAAAATGGCATCCGGAGTCATGCGCATGCGCCCGGCATTGCACTCACATGCACACGACTCTGGGTGCCATTTTGGAAAACAAAATGGCGTCCGAGTCGCACGCATGTGCTTGCACCTCCAGCCCCCCGAAGATCTGGGGGCCAGTGAACCGGCCCCCAGATCAAAAAGTGTGGGGACCCCTGTTCTAAGTTCTTGCAGATTCATACCAGTGACCTACTTGAGTCCATCCATCTAGCACGTGATCTTCCTTTCTTTCTACTTCCCTCCCTTTCCTAGCATTATTGTCATTTCTAATGATTCATGCCTTCTCATGATGTGGCCAAAATATAATGGCTTCAGTTTAGTCATCTCTGCCTCCAGGGAAATTCCAGGTTTGATCTGTTGTTCTAGGACACACTTATTTATTCTTTTTGCTGTCCATGGTATACTCAGCACTCTTCTCCAGCACCACATCTCAAATGAATGTATTCTCTTTTTTCTGTTTTCTTAACTGTCCAACTCTCACATCCATACATGGTAATGGGAAGTACAATTCCTTGTATGATTCTAACTTTTGTGCTTAGTTGTATATCTTTGTTCTTTAGGAACTTTTCTAGTTCATAGCTTAGTTCTTAGTCATCTTCTGATTTCTTAACTGCAGTCCCCATTCTGATCAATGTTTGATCCAAGGTATAGGAACTCTTTTACTATTTCTGTATCCTCATTGTCTAGTCCTAGTACTCCACCCTTAATGTATTTTCAGTGCAACTATCCAAGAAATCTACTTTCTAAGCAAGGCCATATCAAATATATCTGAGGACAAACTGCTAATACTGAGGCCACCACATCACACTCAAGACCATTTTTGGTTTGGACAGTTCACAAGTTATACAACTTCATGCTAATGGGAGGAAAATTAAAGCTACAGTCTTATACAGGCTGATCTAGTAATAAGTTCCACTGAGCAGAGTGAATACTAAAGTAGATATGCACTGGATTAGCAACTGTAAATGTGCTACTGAACAATGGGGAAAAGTACGGATGCACAGAATACTCATGAATTTTCTTCTCCTCAACCAGAAAAACTGTTCAGAAAATGGCTGCACAATCTCTACTACATTTTTACTTTATTTACATTTGGAGAAAGGGGGGAATGCTTGCACCAAAATCCCCATGGTTACACAAACATTTTTTGTGCAGAAAATAACTTATATTATGTGAAAGGCATGGCTTTGCACAAACAAAAGGGTTTGCACAATTTTTTTTTCACAAAACATCCCCAAAATCATTGGAAAATGTGCAAAAAGTCTCACAATCTTACCCAAAAACATGTAAAATCCTTTGCTCTTGTGTGCAGCAACACAACAAGGAAAGACTTTAGCACCTCTCAGAGTACAAAGATTATTCTGGGAGGGGGACATTTCCCCAGGATGTGGAATACAGCATCTGCCTTTTAACATTATATTTTTAAACAATGCACAATGGGTAAATTTTAACCACGACTTTTCCTTTTAAATCTGTCTCTGGCCATCACTGTACCAGTGCCAAATGCTAATGCATTTTACATTCTTCCTCAGTATCAGGAACTTTCAGGCTGCCAAGTTTCAGCTAAAACTGCTGACATCAAGGAGACTGGTAATGTAGAAATGTGCTGAGCAACAAATGTGCTCAGACCTATCTGTCCACCTGTCTGAGGGGTGTCCTGTCACAGAGGTCAGAGCTGCAGGAGATATCAATGTAGATGCCATCCAAGGAGGCTGTCAGGAGAAAGCAGCTTTCCTCAAACAAAACACATGATCAAAAGCAAACTTCCATTTAAACAGGCATCCAGCTTTTGGCATGTGAGTCTATCTGGTTTTTCATGCTGCAGGAGTATGCTCCCTAAATGTCCCTACTTCTATGCACATTGATGGGAGCATGTGAATACCGAGTCTAAATATGTCTGCATTTGCCCATTTCATTACAGTACTGGCAAGGCTCTTGCATTCATAAAAAATTGAGCTGGGTAGCAAAGCATAGATTAATCAGATTCCCGCTGAACTGGCTTCATTTCTGCTTGTCAAGATGGATCAGAGCTAGGCTGTGGACAGCGCAATGTTTGTTCTTCAAACTTTTGAAATGTTACTTCTCTTTTTTTTGGACTAACAATTGAGAGCCAGCAAGGCACAGTGGTTTGAGGGTTGGACTACAACTCTGGAAACCCATTGAGTGACCTTGGGCAAGTCACAACCCTCAGGGGAAGGTGATGGCAAACCTCCTCTAAACAAATCTTGCAAGAAAACCCCATGATAGGCTCACCTTAGGGTCACCATAAGTTGGAAATGACTTGTAGGCATGCACCAATAACAATACTCCATTCAAAGAGTATAAGGGCCTATAGAACAGGATGGGGAAATGTGTGATCTTGCTGTTGCTGTCAGACTGCAAATCACATCAGCCCAAGGCAGCATTGTTTGATAGTGATAGACTATGGACTTTGCAATCCAACACCATATAGAAGGTCATATGTTCCTCCACTGATGTAGTTGCTACCTCTCCACAGGCAGTTCTCATGACCTCAGAAGCAGTTAAGCATTATGGATCAGGAAAATGATATGGTTCTTTTCCACAGCAATGACAACAAACCAGTCATCCAAACTACATGCCAGAATGGTATGGCATCAAGTCACATGAAAATACAATCAGCCTTCCATAACCACAGATTTTTTTTTTATCCACAAATTAAAGCATCCACACCTTTAAAATATTTTTAAAAACATACATTCTAAAAAGCAAATCTTGATCTTGCCATTTTATATAAGGGACACCATTTTACTATGCCATTGAAGTTAATATGATCACAGATTTTGGTATCCACAGGGCCCCTGGAACCAATCCCAGCATATTTTAAGGGCCCACTGTACTTCCAGTAAAATGACTAAGCCAGCTCAAGCTTGGGTAAGGAGTACCTTTCATTACAGGGATAAGGAATCTTTGGCCCTGGATTTTTTGGACTAGTGTGTCTACAATTTTGTAACACTGGGGTGAATTGATGTTGCAAATCCCTCTTCTAAAACATTTCCATGACTATGTTGACCATCTGTCCATATAGTGATCTGAGATTCATATTCAAGACTTCTTCACATGTAAACAAATGACAGAAGAACCAATGTCCAGTCCCATGGATAAAGTTAGTTTCTTCAGACATTGGTAAATAAGCCAAAAGGCTCAACTGCATGGGACCGGGGTGGTGGTCTTCACATACTAACAATGACCTTATGACATTCAGG